TCAAGCATACAGTGTCCCATTGTCCTCAGTCCTCTCAGAATGGCTTGGCAATGTAGTAATGAAATGATTATTTTTGCTTCTTCCATATCTAGACCAATGCAACAATATATTGATTATCTTCAATTGTTTGCTTTCTCTGTGACCGTACCATGAATTCCAAGATTTTAAATAAACACTAGCAAGTCTGTAAATGTCTTTCCTTATAGTAGTAGAGCTTCGTGTGGGACAAAGATCACACTATTTCGCTCTGGGAAGAAAACGTCCTCTAAAGCTTACAGGAGAGGAATCGGAGTTCAAACCCCACCCGCCTTGACAAAGTCATGCCGCCAGCCAGCCCTCTTTCAAAGGGACAAGCCCCGCAGTAATCACAGAGAAAGCAGAGTCTCCTCCCTGGACAGGAACCCCCTGGGAGGCCCAGCTCAGCCCCAGTGGGGAGGAGAGCTCAGCCCAGGGCAGGAGATCAGGGCCAGAGACACGCCCAGGGCCAGGGCAGCAGGTGTCAGGGCTGTGGCTCAGCTGTGTCTGTCCCGTCCTGGGCACTGGGTCCTAGCTCTGTGACATGTGGCTTGTGTGCTTGATGACAGCAGGCGGCTGCAACCTCAGGATGTCCTGTGGGAGCTCAGGAGCCACATATGTGACTAAGAATGGGCCTCACGGGCAGCTGCTTCTACATAGAAAGGGCGCGATGGTCCCCTGGCCCAGACACACACACACAAACACACATACGCACATATACACATACACACCCCTCCACCAGTGACACACGGACACACACATACACACTTACATACAGAAACACACACAGAGACACAGACACATAGACTGACACACACACACATTGACATGAGAAAAAAGAACCTTCCAGACGATACCCCAGACACGCCCAGAGACCCACTTCAGCATTTCACACGGGGGGTGAGGGGAGAATTTGGACATCAAGCCTGATCCTTTGGTATGGATTTCTGGGCTCTGACTACAGCCCCACCCCCACCCTAAAAGCAGGTGACCAAAAAGTCACAAGACGTAGTCACTCTGGGCAAAGGGGCCAAGCTGGAAGAGGACTGAGGACCCTGCCCTGGAGAAAGACACCACTGTGTGCTATCCTGGGCAGGTCCCAGGTAGACCCTCTCGTCCTCCAGGGCCCCATCTCCCAACCCGCCTCCCCCTTCCCCATCTCCCCACGGCCCCACTGCAGAGCTTTGGCCCCCACTGGGGAGCCCTGTGGGTCCTGGTTCCGTGTACAGGAGCCCAGGGTGTGCCCAGGCTGTGCCCTGGTCCCCTGTAAGGAAAACTGAGGACAGGATGAGTGCCCAGCAGGAGTCCCGACTGGTCAGAGGGACAGACCCGGGCACAGGGACCCTGGGGAGGGTGCTGGTCCTCTCAGCCTGTGTCACCCTGGGGCCAGAACGGATGCTCTGCACGGGTCTGCAGTCCAGCTGCTCTGTACGAGGTCCCAGCTCTGCCACCACGGAGGGTGCCCTGCCCACTCTAGAGCTGGGAAGGACAACAGGCTGCCAGTGCCCAGCCAGGGTCTCAGCAGGGTCCCCTCACCAAACCCGTGGGGCCCCCAGGTCGGAGGCAATACTCCGAGGGAGGCTCTGGGGAGCTGGGGGGTCTGGGGGCAGGGCTTGGGAGCCGGGCTCTGGGAGGACAAGGACAGAGCCACCAGAAACATGACCTAGGGCAGCACAGAGTGGTTGTTTTCACCAGGGTGACGTGCTCTGGCCTCTCCCAGGTTGGCCCATTGCCCAGAATGACAACGTCGTGTGGCTTTTTGGTCAATCATGTCTGGGATGGGGCCGGGCTGTTGTCAGAGCCTGAAATCAAAACCAAATCGTGAGGGGTAATGACGAAGTTCTCCCTGCGATCCCTGCATGCGCAGTGATGAAATCCCCTCTTCCTGCCATAGCTACGGTGGCCCTCTGGGTGTGGGTGTTTCTGGGCTATTGCATAAAAATGTCCTTTTTCTTTTGTCACTTTGTATTAGTGTGTTTCTGTGTGTGTGTGTTTGTGTGTCACTGTGTGTGTTTGTGTGTATCTGTGTATTTGTGCACGTGTGTGGCATATGTGTGTCACTGGGTGTGTCTATGTATGTATGCATGTGCATTGTGCGTGTGTGTTAGTATTAGTGTTAGTGTCACTGTGTGTGTGTGTGTGTGTGTGTGTGTGTGTGTGTGTGTGTATGTGTGTGTGTGTGTGTCTGGGCCAAGGGACCAGTGCACCCTTTCTGCCCAGGAACACCTGCCCGTGAGCCCTGTTCTTAGTCACATATGCGGCTCCTGAGGTCCCACAGGACATCCTGAGGCTGCAGCCGCCTGCTGTCATCAAGCACATAAGCCACACGTCACAGAACCAGAACCCAGCGCCCAGGGCGGGACAGACACAGCCGAGCCACAGCCCTGACACCTGCTGCCCTGGCCCTGGGGTGTGTCTCTGGCCCTGACCTCCTGCCTCGGGCTGAGCCCCCCTCCCCGCTGGGGCTGAGCTGGGCCTCCTGGAGCTGCTCATGTCCCCCTGCCCCTGCCCTAGACCTGGACTCTCCCTGGGCTCCTTCCCCAGAACTGGCCCTGTCCTGGGTCTCAGCCATGGCTGGCTGAGGCCCCAGTGCTTCCTGTCCCTCCTAAACCCCAGGGCCCTGCTGCAGATGACGTGGGCCCCCATTTCCCGGTAGACCAATGAGTTATTTGGGGCGGGACAGGGAGGAGGGCAGCAGCGAAGGAGTCAGAGCCGGATTCTGACAGCATTGGTGGTTTAAAAAACATTTCTGTGCAGCAGACGACACCACAAAGGGAACACCGGGGCCTGCGAGAGAACCTCGGCCCAGCAGAGGGACCAGCCAGTGGACGTGAGTGTCAGGCCTGGCTGGGCGCCCCCTCTGTGCAGACCCAAGGGTGGAAACAGCCTCCTGCTTCCCCACCCAGATGCTTACATTCCCTGCGTGACCCATGACACATACACTGAGCACCTACTGTGTGCACAGCAGAGGGAGCTCAGCTGCCTCCAGAAGTGCACCCAGAGCTCACCGAGCTGAGGCCTGGTCCCAGGAGGAGGGGGCGGTCCCGAGAGCAGGGCCCAGAGCTGACAGGGACAGGGGACAGCCCTGGCTCTCCAGGGACAGCGTCAGGATGTCAGGGACAGAAACAGCTCCTGGATGCTTTCCTCAGAGGACTTGGGGGGCGGGGTGGGGGGCAGACTGATCTGGGGAGCCAAGGAGAGATGGATCCAGGAGAAGGCTTCTCCCTTTCTGAGTATCCGTGTCTCCCTGCCCCTCTGCTCGCCCACATCAGGCCGGGGAGCAGACGGGATTGGTAACGTGCACAGTATCAGTGCATCAATTGTCGCGTGTTTATACTGAGCTGAGGGTCACCTGTTAATATGTGGTGGAGCTGGGGTCCCACCCCATAGAGGACGTGATGCGTAGGCTCTGGGAGCCAGGCCTGAGCAGCAGGACTCTGACCAGGAAGATGGGGGAGGAGGTGTGCAGGAGAGGGGAGAGGGACCCCACCGTGTGGCCTCAGCACAGGGTACCCTCGTTTCTCTGATTCCTGGGCTTAGATGAGGCAGGACATGCCACCCCCGTCTCTGGGCCCCAGCTGGGCCCCTGGGTGGTTGATGACAGCAGGCAGCTCCCACAGGATGTCCTGTGAGACCTCAGGAGTCACACATGTGACAAAGAACGGGCCTTGCTGCAGCTGTTCCTGGGCTAACAGGCCCAACCACTTCCGGGGCCAATGCACAGACATACGGGGACACAGAGGCACACTCATAAAGTGGCACGAGAAGGGGAACCCTCCACAGGATACTGCAGATAGTGACTTCAGCTCCGTCCAAATCAGAGCGTTTCGGCCACTCTCCTGTGGCGCGGCCTCATTGTCAACCCCAACCCTTTGGTTTTGATTTCTGCATTCTAGCAACAGCCCCACCTTGAAATGAGTGACCAAAAAATTGACAAAATGTGGTCACTCTGGGCAAAGAGGCCAACCCTGGGAGAGGACAGAGGACGTCAGCTGGGAGAAGAGTGCTCTGTGCTGTCCTGGGGC